GTTATTTATGCATGACCTCATTTACCATTTATTAGATTCCTAACCTGATGATGAAAGCATTTATTACATTCCAGCCCAAGAGATTACCACCACCCCTCTTGCTAAGGGTTCTATTTGAGGTAGGCACATTGACCATGCAAAGGTCAGGAGAAGGGGCAGAGCATGGTCTGAGCTCTGTCTCAAAGAATGGTGTAGCAATCACAAGGGAAGGGTGCCTCAGGCAGAAGGAACCACAAGTGCAAAGCTGGTGGCATGCCAGTGTCTGGAGTGCACAGGACATAGAGGCTGCTGTGGACAGCGAGACTGATGAGGAGTTAGGTGGACCTAGGTTGTAAGGTGCCTGGATACCGGGATGCAGGGTTTATTTAGACCGAAGAGATGGAATGCATTTGAGTCAGGATATGTGCTGTCATAAAGTGTCATAAAGTGATGCTGTCATAAAGTGATATGTGCTGTCATAAGGTGTTTTAGCAGCAGCAGGATGTGATCTGACCTATTGGAAGAGTGTCTCTAGAATAGAGGGACTCTAAGGGGGAAAATTAAGTGCAGAAAGGCCGGGCTAACAAGAGTGAGCCTATAGCCTGTCCACTGAGCCATAGACAGGGCTCCATTTCATACTAAAATTCCTGCCTGAATTTTTAAAAATCCTTATCACTGACTCCCCTCCTCTGACCCCTACAACTTGCTTTGAGATTAACCTTCTGACACCATTTTCTGGAGAATGAATCATGGTCCCAGTGAGAATTAACACTTGGGCCCCTCTTGGCTGGCTGACACTCAATAGGCAGACCTTCAAACCTATTGCAGCTGCAAGACCATGCAGGATGCCATAAATGAGGTTTGCAATATGCAGGGGGAGGCAGCAAGCTCTCTGAGCCTTGCCTTCAGCTGAAGAGATAAGAACCTACAACTGCGGCTACAGGAAATGACAAAGCAGTGACTGATCGGGGAGTGCACAGGGCTCATTATGGCGCTTGCCAGCGGGCGAGACACCCTTATCAGGGAGAAAATTGCATCAGGCCTCCCGAATTACTAGCGATTGGAAGCAGATTTCTTGGGACGCACTTTGTTAGATACCTAATGAACGGGATACAGGCAGGCAGAGCCCAAAGCCAGCGGGGCGGGGGACAAATGTCTTTGTTAAACAGAATTTGTCAGTTTCCGCTCCAGGCTCCCTGGGGAGGGTTCAGGGCCAGCTAATTGAATTAAGGCCTTGTGCGCTCCCGCTCGAAGGCTCAGGGCGGGGCAAGAGACAGGCGGCCCGGAAGGCGGGCGCTTTCAGCACCAAGGACAGCAGCTGCAACCTGGCCTGCCTTTCATTGCCCGGGAAGACGGGTACTGTTGCCTTGGCATGATTAGGGATCTAAGGCATGGAGTGGGTAGCGGGGAGTCAAAAGATCTTGGGTGGGGGAGGGGAGAAAGGTGACTCAAAAACCTGGAGCCTGTGATATTATTGGCCTGTTCTGTCTCTGCCGACTTTCCTGCAGGCAACAGTGAGGACTGAGAGGCTTAAGGGAGGGGTGTCTTCTTTCTCCCCATTATGGCACTCGGGTTGTCTGGGGCAGCTCTGGCAGCAAAAGAAATGGTGGACTGAGCACCAAGTCTGAACCAGTGCATGTCCATGCATCGCTTTGAGCTCTCAAAGTCGGTCTCCAATTATGGGACTAATGAAGCAGGACGTGCTGCAGCCACGGAGCCACCGAGAGAGAGGCCACTTGTCAGGCACAAGCTGCCTCAGCAGGCAGAACAGAGTCTTTCAGATTGAAAAGCAAATAAGCAGACTTATGAGGCAAACCAGCAGCGCCCTCCCTTCGCTTGGAAGAAAGGGGGACAGCAAGGCAGGGCTGGGCTTGCATAGGGAGGAGTTAGTCCCCAAGGCCCATTTTGACCTTCCCACCCACCCTGACCACCCCTTCCAGTAGCCTGGCCCCTCTGTAGTCTCAGACAAGTCTCCTTCCCATGAAGAGTGACAAGAGGAGGGCCCAACACCCCTCTCCAAAACACAGGTAGATTAAAGCTAGAGAGGCAGATTGGCTTTAAAGACAGGATGATAACTTAGGCCCTGTATGAGCACTACGGTTCCCTTACCGCATGTGACTAAAACAACTGCCTCTGACCTTCCCTGGGGGCCTATTCTTGTGGAGGTCTAAAGATTTTTCTACAAAACTCACCCATCCACCTTGCCTCCAAACCCCAGGCCAGGATGGATGCTGACAATTTTTTTTTTTTTTTGTCATTGTTCTTTTTCTAGTGTCTTATTTTTTTAAAGCCATTTACATTTTTATTGTATTTATTTATTTTAAATTATTTTTTCATTTTTTACATCATTGTTCATTTTTAAACAGCATGTGCTTCCCCCCCACCCCCTCAGGTGTCGTCCCCATAGAGTTTCCTTCACCACTGCACCCGCGCACCATCTCCTTTGATCCTGACAAATTTGATTGGTGCATGGGATTGGAAATGTGGGGGAGACCTGTAGGGATGGGGGGGCAGGGTGAGGAAGCACTGGCATGAAGAAGCTATGGGAGCAGATAGGGACCAGGGCCAGAGCCAGGAGAGGGCAGAGTAGAATCATGGAGTCTGGCAAGGGCTAGAGGAAGAGCAGCCAGGGGTCAGTCACTGGTGGGATGAGCAGACTAGACTGAAATCCACAGATGCTCTGCCTTTCCTCTCCTCCTCTGAGGGGCTTGTGGGTGAAGGCCCTGGTCTGGACTGCAGGGTCAGTCTCATTTTTACTTTTTCTTTAAGACAAAATTAAATGGATTTTATACAATAAATTTCAGAACCCACATAGAAGTACCTGGTGAGTGCCCAGCTCTGACCAGGAGTCCAGTAAATGTCACCCCACACCTGGTGCATGCCACGGAGGCCGGGGAGGGGAGGGGCTCCCTCAGCCCTGTGTCTCTGTTTCCAGAACTGATGGGGGCACCTCTGGAGACCTCTCCCTTGATCTCATTACTTCTACTTCCTCCCCTAACTGGATTAGATGGCAGTCTATGAAATCCAGGGCATTGGGATTGGCTTTCTGCCTGGAAATGAGCAGAAATGTCATTACAGGTCCTGAATCAGCATCTCACCCCAGCCCCAGGGGCCACCTGGTCAACAGGGAATCAGTCTTTGCCCCGGCTAGTTGTTCCTCCTCTCATTCTCCTGCATCCAGCCATCTACCCATGCAATTTTTTTTTTACTTCTGTTCCACCAGGAGACAGATGTGGTGCTTTTCCTATCTAAAATACCAGACAACCAGAAAACCCTAAACCATCTAACTCAGATACCGCACTGAGACAGTGGACATTTCAGGGAGGAATCTCTAAGTGAATTTTGCCCTCCCTGACCCAGAGCTGTCGAGAGGACCAGCCAGGCCTAATGTCCACTGACTAAGCAGGTCCAGGAGTCTTGGTGCAAGAGTCAGCCTCAGGGTCACCCAGTGCTTTTCCCATTCCAACAGGCCTCCTAGAGCTGCTTCCTCTTTGAATTCTCTATCCCTGTGTCCATCTGACAAGGGAGGATGAGGCTGACTGGTCTGGACACCTCTGTTCTTGTATGACTCTTGACACAAGAGTCAATGTATTAACTTCATGTTAATAAATTCCTACACACCAAATTTTATTTTTAAAAGCATAAAGAAATCATTATTTAAAATATCCCAGTCCCAAAGTGCAGGGTCCTTGTCCCCAGTTCCTCTGGCTCATAGGTGTGGCTTTTCACACCGAGGGCTCTCTTAAAGAGAGAACCACCTGCAGTGTTCTCGCTCTGTTCAAGGGCAGACGTTTAGGCAGGCACCTCTATCCCTGAGCACATCTGTCCTGGCTGGCACCGGCCCGTTGCTTTGTTTGCTCCTAGTCCAACATTCTAGACAGTGAAGTGTCTGCCATGAAGCCACAACAAGGATTCCAATAGCTGATGTAGGTGGAAGGGAAACACCACTAATGTTCTTACAAGCCCTGAGACTGCATGATCCTTTGAACAATGGACAGATTTTAGGGCTAACCATGGATTTTCATAACTTCTCCCCAGTGGGGCATAAGACAATCCCTAAGCCTGAGGAACTTAAAGCTTGGTCAGAAAACAAAAATGGCAAGGAAGCCTGGAATTGGAGAAGCGAGTGAGCAGTGAGAATTAGCTGCCCGGCTGGGAGAGCTGGGAAAAGCTGCCAGTATCCGTGGAGACCAGCAAGGCTTCCTGGAGGGGCTGGGATTTCAGTGGGACTGAATTCTAGACAAGCAGAGACGAGGGTGACGGTCACGCCAAGAAGGGGAGAGGAGAAGAGGAAAAAGGACATGAAAGGAAAAAGAGGCCCAGCAGAGGCGAGAAAAGGGAAATCTTAATGGGCGGTGGGGGAATGCCAGGGAAGCTGGCAGGCAGATGAGTCTACACCTCCAGGGGTATCGAAGGCACTTGGAGATTTTAGAAGCTGTTACACACACCGAGGGTGGGAGTCATGGATGACACAGCATTTTCTCTCAGTAAGTATTTGTTGAGCACCCACACAGGCAGAAACGAGGGATAAACAAGGTTCCTGCTTCCATGTAACTTACGGGGTCAGGGTCAGGTGTTGGCGGAGGGAGGCAGCCAGTACACAAGTCAACACATTTTTTGAAAGTTAGTTTTCTAGTAAATAAGCACTACGGGTACAGTCAAAGGGGATACTGTGACTAGAGAGTGTATTGGAGGAAGTTCCTTTCGATAGGCTGGGCCTCTGTCTCAACGTGTAGGGGCTCTCTGAGAAGATCACATCTGGGCTGCCACCTGAGCGAGGGGGACAGCTGTGTAAAGGTCCATGAACAGCAGATGCAAAGGCCCAGGGGCAGGCAGGAGTTTCACTGGTTAGAGGAACAGCAAGGACAGCATCGTTGGGAATCAGTGTTTAAGGGGTCCGGCGGCAGGGGGCAGATAGGCCAGGCATGATTCTCCTGAATGAAGAGGAGAAGCTGGGGTTCTGGAAGTTGTGCTTATGACAGACAGGCACAGAGGCATTTCTCTGTACCTTCTCTTCCCAGAGGCCAGAAAACTTCTTAACACCAAGCAACAGCAAGGCTCTGCCCATCCTGGACCCCAAGATCTTAGATGAGAAGCTGGGAACCATCCGTGAGTCCTGGTCCAAGACCACAGCAAACTCCATCACATCCTCTCTGGAGACAGAAGAAGATACTCAGGTGCTGGAGACCTACCGTGAAACCGTGAGTGTCTCCCTCCAGGCCCAAGGGGGGCGCGGGCAAGGGGCCTGACTGCTGCCTGCGGGCCTGCTCCACTCATCAGGTGGCAGGCAGACCTCCCCTCAGGTGCTGAGTCACCCCAAAGTTATACTGGTACAAGGTGCAGGTTCTTCATTTCAATTTCTTCGCCTCTTGCATGAAACTTCCGCACGCGTTCTTTCAAAACAAACTCCCGCGTCCCTGTGAGCCGGGGTTGCCTGCCTCAGGTGGTCATCAACTCAGAAGGGAGCATGTCCGTGGGGTCAGGGTGAGCCCCCTGAGACATCAGCTTTAACTTCCACGAGAGGAGGGGGGGCTGGGAGAAGAGGCGCCGTCTTTAGCCACAGAGTCTTTCCCTGACCGTGGGGTTGGCTGGTCTCCTGCTTGCGCACGACCGGGTGCTGGGCAGGGCTGATGCAGGTGACCAAGGTGGCGTCTTAATTTGTGAGGGGCCAGTGCTATGTCCAAGCCCCCTGATTCAGAGAGCAAAAGAACAGTCCCCAAAAGGAGAGCCCAGCCAAAGTCCCCAACTGAGGTGCTGGCCCGGGACCCTGGTGATTTCCTCCCTTCGTCCACAGCGAATCCCATGGGGAACGCTGCTCTGGAAGGTCCTTAGAAAAGGCCCCAGCCAACGCCGCTGGCTCAGAAGGAAGCCCGGGGCCTCCTCCTCACAGAACCCGCCCCTGTACACTGACAGCCTCCTCATCTTCCCCTGGCACTTCTGCACTTTCCTGGAACACGTCCCACAGGATGACTGAGAGGGGTCTGTCTTCTGGCTGTGCCCAGGATCCTCCCAGAGGGTCCCCCTGCCACCCTGAAGCAGGGCCCTCCATCAGGGGCCAGGGCACTCACAGCCCACCTTCTACCCTCCCGCACTCACCTTCGGCCCGGGGGGAAGCAGAACTTCCCAGCTCTGCCAACACTTGAATAGAAAATAAAGATTCAGATTCAAACATGCTTTCGAGACTTTGGGAAGCATGAATAAATCAGCACCTGCTGCCCCCCGCAGCCTGACCCTGTGGTCTAAGCAGAGGCAGTGATGGGAAGAAGGGAGGAGGCCGAAAGGCCAGGGAAGGTGCCCCGGAAGGGGAAAGGCAGACAGGAAGGAAGGAGAAAGGTCATGACCTTCCCCCCCAGCCTGCAGAGAGCTCAGAGCAACCTCTACATTCCACTTGAATACGGGGTGATGTGATAGTTGGTCAATGTCAGTGCCATATATTATATATGCACTTGATATCTGAAAGGATGTTCTGAGACCACAGGGAGGGTGGCCAGCTAGTCTTGATCTTGTAATGATTAAACCGTCGAGGAGGAGCCGGCAGCTAGCCATTAGGAGGCGGTGTTTTTGAGCAGGGGATGAGTAACCATTGTGAGTGACAGAGGGCCCCTGGAGAAACAAGTGGCTGAGGGTACAGAGACAGGACCCCCTGGAGGAGGAACAAGGACTCAGGGCCGCCTCACCCACACAGGCCATCCGGGACATTGCTGGTTGCGTGTCCATGAACTCTAGCTGGAGCCTGCCACCCCAGCTCTCCCGTCAGCGGCTGGTCCCTCCACCTGCCCCCGTGCTAGATGCCTGGCAAGGCCACAGGCAGTCCCTGCTCTCCCTCATTTGTTGTTAGGTGGTTAGGTTCTCCCAGCCACGATGATCCAGTCCTTGAACTAAGAGCACCCTGGAGGCCTCATCTCGGGGCTCCAGGCCATCTCTAGGACGGCCCCTTCCCAAGGCTCCCTGCCCGTGCTGTCCCAGGTTGCCTTGCACGTCGCCAAGTGAGCACCAGCCGCTGCAGAGACCAGCCCTGCACCCTTCAGCCAACTTGACAGCACCGGGCCCCTTAGTATTCAGGGCAGCGAGCCTGCCCCGCTCTGTTGCCCAGCCCAGCCCATGCCAGGCTCTTTCTGCTGCCTCCTTGTTCCAGACTCTTGGCGTCATTTCATTTACCCTCCGCCCCGGCCGTCAGCCTCCAACAACCTTTCCTCCGTCCTCCCTCATCTCTCCCTGCCTCTCTTCCAAACCTCCCCCACACCTTTCTCTTGGCTCGGAACGGTCATGCGGTCATGCTAGCTAGTCCACCCCCCACACTTTGCCGAGTGGAGTCCCCGGCCCCGGCTCCAGCTCCCACCCGTAGCGGCGCCCTGAAGGACCAGAGCAGGACCGACCCGCGCGTGGCCGCAGAGCGCAGTCGCAGCCACGGAACGCGGGTGGCTGGCAGCAGTGCCGGCGCCCTGACAATCACCAGCAGCCAGGTGGCTGTGGGTCACCGCTCCATAGCAACCAAACAAAATTACATAGCAATGGACGAGCTCCTGCAACCAGGAGACACAGTGACAAGCAGCAGAAGGCGGCCGCGGAGCAGCCGAGCGCGATCGCATGGCCGGGGGCTCGACTCCGCCGTGATGTCGCTCACGCCGGGATGCGGTAAGGCGCGTCCAGGAGCTTGGCCACGAGCAGAGTCACAAGTGGCGGGAGGCCCTCACCGGCGCTAGGGCGTGTGGGTGGTGATGGCACCTTCACAAGGTGTGAGACTCTGTCCAGCAGCGGAGCCTGGACGAGCAGCAGTGCCCCAGGGACACGGGTCGTGTAGGGCACGAGCCGATAACCAGCTCCCTCACTCTTGGCCACTGTGTCCAGCTGTGACACTCATGTCCCCTGATGCCCCGAGTGTGTGTCCCGTCTAGTCTTGGGGCACGCTCCCCAGAGCCCCAGAAAGAATTTGCCTCTGATTCCCTTTAGACTCTACTTTGGCTTAATAGGAAATGGAATGGTTTCTCTCCAAGAGCGCCTTGGGCATGGAGAGGGGAGTGAAGGGGATGCTGGGTTGTGGCCTCTCTGAGGGAGGATGCCAAGATGCTCCTTGCTGCCAGTCCTGCCAGCCCCACCCCCGCCACCCCACTTAGGGCGCCCTCCCCTTCATGTGCCCTTGGGCCCCCCTGAGCCTCAGTCCTACAGGTTCTCCCATCCCAGCCGCCCTTTGTGTGGACACCAGGACTGACACAGACCTCCTCAGTGCCGCTCTGTCACTGTGGTGCCAAACTCTGGTCCCGAGAGGACCCTTGGGCTCAGGGGCCGTGGCTGTGGTCTTGGGTCAGGTGCAGTGCCTGGACAAAGCAAGAGAAGGCCTTAACCTCCCTGCTGAGCAGCCCAAGAAGTCTTTTTAGGAAGAGGTGGGCTTTTAATTGTGAAGGGTGAGATGTTAAGAGTCATCCTGGACCTCCCTGGTGTCCAGGGAGCTGTCCATAGCCTCTGCAGCGCAGGTTCAATCCTGGCCAGGGAGATTCCCACATGGCGCAGCAGACCTCTCCTGACTCACCCGCTGCTCCCCTCAGCAGTGTATTTCATCAGTCTGCCTGTTCTGCTCCCTGCTCTGTCTCTGGTGAATCCTTTTACCACCCCTACCCTGCATCTCTGGCCTGTACCCCAGCTCTTGTATAGATAAATAAAATCTTTTTAAAAAAGTCATCCTGAACACAGAGACCCTCCAAACATTAAAATCCTGTACGCATCCCCCAGATCCTCTGAGCCCACCTCGTGCCCCTGCCTGGTGCCCATCAGTGCAGAGGGCAGGGGCGAGGGAAGGAGGACCCCAAGGCCCTGAACTCTGGAAGTTCCCCAGCCAGCGGAGCAGGCCACAGCCCAGGAGCCATGAGTGACACAGAGAAGGCACACAATAAATATTTGATGAGGGACAAAAGGGCATGACTGAGACAAGCTATCTGCTTAAGTGCCTCACTTAGCCAGCATTGCTGGCACACCCAGGAGCCCTCAGTAAATGAGAGATGGAGCATGAGAGGGAGCAAGGGAGGCTTCCTGGAGGTAGTGGCTGTGCTTTGAATAAACAGAGGCAGAGGCACTCAGTGCTACTCCTGAAGTGTGTGTTCGTGTTTCCAGTGCAGACACTCGAGTGCAGGCTTGTTCCCCTTCTCTCTGATGGCTCCCTCCATTCCTCTCTTTCTCCCCTGCTCCCCAATCTTCTTCCCTGTCTTCTTCCCTCCCTCTCTCCTCTCTTCTGCTCAGAGGAGATCTGTGGCAGACCAGAGGGCCCTCACACCAGGAAATGAATAATTGACAAGGGTTGTTTAAAGATTCAGTGTTTTTCCAACGTCGCCACACTGGAATAACTCATTTCTTTCATTTGCTCTTTGAAAGCCTCTCCTCCTCCCTCCAGCTCCCCGCTTCCCATCCCCATGTCCCCACCCCCCTCTGAGCAGAAGCTTTGCTCTCGCCTCCTTTCTGGAGTCTCTGGACCCCAGAATGCTCCTTTGATCGCATGTGACTTCAGCCTGCTCCCGCCACTGCCCTCCGCCCCATTTAACAGGGTGGGAGGTTGACGTCCGCCTTTTGGATACCCCTTCCCCAAGAAAGAAGGCCACATTTCAGGGGTGAGGAGAAAAGGAAGGTCACAGAAACTGGGGCTCCTCTGAGGTCACCCAGTTGCATCGGAAGTGGGGGGTCTTAGACGCCAGAAGGGCAGGCCTCCCAGCCAGGGGCTCCCCTCCCAGGCAGTGAATGGGCACTGGATCTGCCACTCCTGTCCAGCGTGGCTCAGAGTACTTGATTTTTCCATCTGCAGCCCAGGATATGCTTACCTGGAATGTGAGGGGCTTTAGAAGAGGCTGGCAGTGGAGCAGAGACTCTTGTGAGCCCAGCCCTGCGGGTCTGCCTGGCGTGGCTCCAGGATGACCATCCCTCCCTGTCTGCCCAGGCCCAAGAGGTCCCAGGACATAGGACTCGCGGCGCCAAATCTGAAATAGTTCCAGGCAAACTGGGAAGAGGCTGTCCCAGGCCATGTAGAGTGATCCCTCCCCTGCCCGGCCCGGCTCCACACTGTCCTCACACCTGCTCCTTGAAATGACCTTGACCTCCCTTGCTGGGCCCCAGCTCCTTCCTCTGTTCAGAGAGGAAGTTGGAGCAGATGTTGCCAAGTCCCCCAGAGTCTCGCTCTGTCACAGGAGTCTTGGCTGTGCTCCCCGGTTCCCTCCAGGAT